GTTTGATCTATGATTAATCTTGGTTAGCTATCTCCGAAAGATAATTCGGCACACCAAATACTAGCACCAAGCCACAACAAAACCATATAGTTGTCAACAAAAAAGATGAAAATATTGATTATGCATATTCAAGATCATAAAAGGTCGACATAGGCTCGTGTTTTGCAAATTGAATTTTTTATTGGTTTTTAAACATCATTTATCGAAATGTTTTGTTTAGATTTTACTAAACTAAGTGCCATATTTTAATGGTATCAAATTTTCTTCTTGCATGGCTTTAATATTGAATTGAAATCTAAAAATATGTATGAAAAAAATATCATTTAGCATTGTATTTCATCCTCAAAGTGAAGAAATATAATGATAAATATATTCACTAAAGACCTTTGAGATTGGTCAAATTCTAAAATATGTCATGCAATTACTAAGGGGTAATTGTTCTTATCAAAATCCAAAACACAACCTCTTCACCTCAAACAATACTCATCTAAAGAAATTTTTATCATCAATGATTTGATTCTCTAAATAATGATGAAAATCAAATCATTGACAAAACACATACAAAGAGGTCATAAACTAGATTTTCCCAAACAAATAGCATGTAAAATAGTTAAAACTTGCCGAGCATGAGTAAATTAGTTTTAAGATGAGAAAACATCATCTTTGACATATTCTTTATAAATGATCATACAAATCCCTTGTAATCCCTTTTTTAGCCTTACTAATTTTTTTTAATGATAACCCAAGACTATGATCACCTCCACATTAAGACAGAATGTGCTTAAAATAAGAAGATAAATAACTCCTCGAACAAAAAAGATCAAATAAAGTATATAAAAAGCGAGCTATAATCACAATCATTACAAGAGGCTCACGTTTTGTTTATCTTTAAAAAAAGAAGAAGAAGGGATAATCACAAATTTGTCAAAACCATTATTTTGAAAGTATAGTTGAAGATACTTCCCAAGATTTGGAAGAAAAAAACTTGATGGTGCAAAAAATTCATAATGGAAAGCTTTAGCATGAGCTAATTGAGATAGTAAAAAAAAAGTGAAAGGTAAAAGATGATTATGGGCACTTGGTCACCATATAAGAAGATATAAAAAATCAAGTAGAGCTAATCTAATTGGAAAATCAAGAATTGAAATGAAAATTTAATGTGAAAAAGTGAAAAGAAAAAGTAAAAGAGCAAAATAAAGAGCCATATAATGGGATAGTTTTATTCCATCAAGAAAAAAATTGGTTGGTAGCTCAATTAGTAACTCGAGAGGAAATGTAAGTCACACTCCATACGGTGAAAAAACACATAGAAAAAAATAAAAGACACCATTCAAGCACTCACAAAAAAAGTCAATAATAACAATAAAGATTATATAAGAGCAATCAAGTTAAGAGGAAACATCTATCGTTGTTAAAGTAATCTTTGATCATCAAACCCCGAAATACTTTGAGCATTTATGCCTTTTTATTCAAGACCCAACACCAGTTGTTACATGCTTTTAAAAGTCATTTTTAATCAAAATGAGTTGTTTAGGCTAACAAGTTGTATCCATTATAAGGAAAAAAAACAATTTTTTGATCTATTTGCATGTTTTACATTATTATTTATGGCATCAAATCATAAGAAAAAACAAGACAAAGTTCGTTATTTCAAAATAAAAAGTTATATTTTGAACTTAACCCATTCTAAATATAACATTTTATATTACAAAAGTATCATCCAAGCCTTTCATTTTCAACACAACTAAATTTTTTATCACTTTACAAAAAGCACAAAGGTATCGTTTGGTTATAAGAGATGAAAAGTTCGGAATGGGAATGCAGAAATCGAATGAAAGTTAAGGAATCGAATGACATTTGTATTCTAATACTGTGTTTGGAATACTAATAAGAAATCGAAATGCAATTTAAATTTTTAATATCTATTTTTTATATAAATAAAAATAATGATTAAAAAATAATTTTATCAAACTATAATAGTTGTAAAAATAATACGGGTGATGGTGGTGGTAGTGCTGCTACTCGGTTATGATGGTGTTGGTGCTAGTGGTGGTAGTACTAGTGGTTGCGGTGGTAGTGGTAGTGATGGTGGTGCTGGTGGTTGCGGTGGTGGTGGTTATGATGATAGTAGTGGTTGCGGTGCTGGTGGTCGTGATCGTGGTGGTGGTGTTAGTGGTGAAATTAGCTAATAGATAATAAATAAATAAAATATATTATTATTTTGAAAAAAAAATTCATTCACATTCCTTATTTTTATTCCCATATCTTTTATGAGAATGAAGTTGTATGTAAATTTTCATTTTCATTCTCACTCTTCATTTTCATTCCCACTCAATTCCTTTTAACTAAATAGATACAACGTGGGAATAAAACTTTCATTCTCATTCTCATTCCCACCACTCTATTCCCGATTACTAAACAACACCTAAAGGATATTCATTTATAAAAACTCTCTCTACAACTCCGAACATGATTACAACTTAGTATTTGAATGATGTATTTTAGCTTATGACCAATCAATCAAACAATTCGGAATGAAAATACTTTCTAATGCACTTCTCTAAGATTTCTTTGTAGCAATCTGGACCGATAAAAAAATACTATTAAATTCTGCTACATGGTTCAAAACAAAATAATTTATCTCACAACATTATCGCTACCCGACGTTCGTGGGACTCCCACAAATTTATGATTTATTTGTTGAAAATTTTATTTGTTTAAGGAAGTGAGTTATTTACTAATTTTGGAGTCGTCATCTAGCATTAAAGAAACTAGGAATTTAAAATGGATATTGGTTTAGAAATTCTCGGATAAGGAGTTGGTTATACTTTTGAGAAGATATCAATCACTCAAAAGCACCATTTCTTAAAAAAAGATATCACATCTAGTTTAGTCCTAAAGTTTATCTCTTAAAAATTTATATTTTTGCAACGATTGATGCATAGTGATTTTTCAATAAAATCAATGATTTAATATATTTTTATACATTATGACTATATTTAGTGAAGTCGAGAGTGTGCATTATATGTATTTGATTTATATTTATTTATTTATAAAATAATTAATAATGTTAGCATAAAAAACTATATTTAAATGATTTAATGATTCTTTTAAAAAATTATTTCAATAATTTTATGTCAAAGAAATTGGTTTAATAATATTAAAAAAATAATAGCAAATACTTAGTATTATGTTTGTAGATGCATAATGAATTTTCAATAAAATCAATAATCTAATATTTTTTATACATCATGACTATATTTATTTGGTTGAGAGTGTGCGGTATAAAGTGACAAGAATAAATCTCCGACAAATTATCTAAAATATATCATATATATATTTCATCATCGTCATACTGCATGAGGAAAAACAAGGTTAGATCTTTCATATTTTTTTTCCTAAAAATCCATAGAAAAAATGGCCGGAGAGCAAGCATGCATGGACGTTTGGGCTTGGTTCTAGGCCTATTCGCGTTGGGGCATTGTTCTAAGCTCGAGTACGCTTGGGACTCGTTTCGGACCCGACAAGGTAGACCCACCTTAAAAAAAAAAAATTGGATGTTGCTATTTTTCAATAAATCGTGGTTCTTTAAAAACATCAATGAAAAATAAGATCTTAATTTTTTGCCTTCCAAACCCAAATTCAGCCTCTTTATTGTCGAAAAACACCTTAAAATCACATAAATAATGTTAAAAAACTCATTTTAATACACATAAAATACATAAAAAATCAAATCAAAATGTTTTTAGGATTCTAATCTACTTTTTTCCAACTATTTTATGACTTGTCACTATTACAAATAAATTCTACACTTCAAGACAAATAAAATAGTAGTGAGTTAGATGGCTAAGACGGTCGGAATAGGTCTCGTCGTCTCTCTTTCCTCCTTTCTCTCTCTTCGTTTCTCTCTTCTCTAAGCTGGTAGGGACCAAAGTACAACATAAATAAAATTCGAGATCAAAACAAAAGTTTTAAAAAAAATGAGGAATCAAAGCGCAAATATTTTAACAAACTTGATTGCAAATAGTAAAATACGAGGTGTAAATAAATGTAAGTGAATAAAGCTAATGAAAGTGAGTGAACAATAAAAAAAATAAAATAATAAGTTGTACCAAGAAAACTCAAATAATTTTATCTTTATTAGTAATTCATGTAAAAACTAATCTCCCTACGTGTAGATACACACGTGCGTGTGCGTGTGTTTGGGTATCTATATAAGTATATATATGTGTGTAAAAACTAATCTGTGTGTCTATATAAGTATATATATGCGTGTGTAAAAACTAATCTGTGTGCATGTGTATATATGCATACACATATAGACACACATATAAAAATGTTAACTTTTCACATTTTGGAATATCTATTCTTAAAAAAGCCATGGAAATTCTCAAATAAAAAATAACAAAAAAAATTAGGAGTAAATTATAATCAAATTTTCTAATTCTAAGAACCGAATTAATTAATTTATTTCTTTTGAAAAACTAATTATTTAATTTTTTCTATTTTATGCTATTTTTTTAAATCTGTTTGCTTTATGTTTTAAAAAATAACAATAATAAATACAATATTATGAAAAAATTGACAATAAATAATTTTTAAATAAAATAATATTAAATAATTATTTTTTGTTTAAAAAGATTATTTAATTTTTTTCCAAAACTAAAGAAACGAATTTATAATTTAGTCTGAAAATTAGTAATCACTCAAAACTCAAAAGATCAAAGAACTGACAGCCACAATGAGTGGCTTAGTGGTACGAGGTTTCTAGTTCGAGGAACAATCGGTTTTAAGATCAATTTGTACTAACAAAAGATAGTTGATTAAAAAAAAAAATCAGCAACACACTGTCGCAGCAGTTTCACGCGCCATTTCAATTGGCAACTGCAAAGTCTGCAATTACTAACAATAACAGAACCCTAGCTAAAACCTCTCTTTCTTCCCTAGCAGACGCCAAGGCATCTGCATACACAGAAATTGAAATTAAAAAAACACCAAAGATGAATAGTCCAAATCGATCATTACACGACGAAGATGAAGACGATCATGGCGAAGTTTTCCTTGAAGATTCCGATATCATACACGAAGTCGACGTCGATGAAGAAGGTTCAAATAAAATTATTATTAATTTATTTACTAATCAAGTTGTGATTTGTCATTAAATTGATAAACAATTGACGAATTTGTAGATCTTCCTGATGCTGTTGACGACGACGACGACGACGACACGGATGATTCTATGCACATTTTTACCGGTCATACCGGTTGGTTTTTTTAATTGAAGTTTCCATCTATTATCATGCAGTCAATTAATTCGATTTTTTGTTTTGGTAATCGAATATTGGTTGTGAAATAATGGCTAAAAAAGTATTTATAATACTTTATTTTGTTTTAATTTGTTGGACTATGAAAATGGAGCGCGATAAAGGCTTATTGTAGAAAGACTGGGGAATTAATGAAGTATTGTTGTTTCGGTTTTTTTGCACATAGGTGAACTCTATGCAGTTGCATGCAGTCCAGCAGATCCTTTATTAGTGGCTACTGGTGGAGGAGACGACAAAGGGTTCCTTTGGAAGATTGGTCTTGGAGATTGGGCTTCTGAGCTCAAAGGTATAGTTGAGTTATGAGGGCTAAAAAATGATCCCGGATATTATGATCTTTGTAGCTGTTGGAATCTTTGCTGTTAGTAATTGATTGTTCCATTTGTTGATTTGTTGTTTGATTGTTAATTAGTTGACTTCTTCAGTTCATTGTTTGCGCTGTAGCATGATTGAGCAACCTGCTTTGTTTTTTCTTTGAGTAATGATACCTAAAAAAAGGCTGAAGTTTTTTAAACTTTTCGTTGGTCCTGATACTTGCTATAATTCATGTCAATGAAGCCGAGGTCTTTTTCCACACCTATTTCTGTGATTGTTAAATGTGCATATTTTTTATCTTGTGGCCTTCTAACTTAAACTTCTGGAATTTTTTTGACAGGTCATAAGGATTCTGTGTCTAGTTTAACCTTTAGTAGCGATGGACAGTTGCTTGCATCTGGAGGATTTGATGGACTTGTTCAAATTTGGGATGCCAGATCAGGAAACCTTAAATGTGTACTCGAAGGTCCTGATGCGGGCATTGAGGTGAACTCGCTAACTGAATTTAGTGGGTCTAATTTATTCTGTTCTATTTCTAAGTCTGAGTATCAACTATGTGGTTTCTCAGTGGGTCAGATGGCATCCAAAAGGGCATCTGGTCTTGGCTGGTTCCGAGGACAAAAGTGTTTGGATGTGGAATGCTGACAGAGGTGCCTATCTTAATTCATTTGTAGGACACGAAGCAAGTGTTACATGTGGTGATTTTACCCCTGATGGTATTAAACTACTCTGAATCTGGGAAATTTATTTTTTTATTTCTTATACGTTTTCCGAAGAATTTTCATTTTGGTTTGCTTTTGATCTATTTCTTTCTTCTTCTTCTTCGTCCTCCTTTTCTTTTTCTTTTTTTTTTTTTCCAACCTATCTGCTGCTTGCTGCAGGTAAAACGATCTGTACTGGTTCTGATGATGCATCTTTGAGGATATGGAATCCAAAAAGTGGTGAAAATATACACGTTGTGAGAGGTATTCATTTAAAATTTAGTTTGTCATTATCTGAAGCTATATCCTGCTCTATTTCATGTTGTGAAAGGTTATTTACTTGGCAAGTCCATAAATATACTTGGTATCGAAGGCATCAATAAAGACCATGTTCAAATTCTCCCAGGCTACATATTCAAATTCTACCCTACCTTGAAAATAGCTACTATAAAAATTAAAGGAGCTTGCCTTTTGGGTTTTGTTTGGCATTGCTGACCACTCTTGTTTTCAGGTCATCCATATCACACTGAAGGACTGACATGCCTGGCATTGAGCTCAGATTCTACTCTTGCTATTACTGGTTCAGAGGACAAATTTGTCCACATTGTGAATATAACTACTGGCAGGGTTAGTTTTTTTCCTTCCATTTCATGGTATGACGCTTTCTTTTAATTACCGTTCTCAATTTTGGCTAGATAATTAAGTTGTGTCCTATTTAATTGTTATACCTTTGGCTTCTTTGAGATATTGTGATTTGGTGTGCTCCTTTTAAGCCTTTCTTCTGGGTCATTATTGAGGTATCTGGAAAGCCTTCTGCATTATGTTGAACTAATGATAGAAAACATAATCTCCAGTTAGTTTAAAGGTGGATTTAGTATTTAAACTTCACTTCAGCAACTACTGAAATTCCTGCAAGCTTTGGCATGCTGAGTTTTATGTTTTAGCATTTAAGGATTCTTTACATTGCCATAAGAAATTCAGCAAGTTGGATCAAAGTTAAGTTGCTGAATGAATGAAATAGCAATAGTTACCCTATCTTTGACAAACGAGCTGACATTCTTAAATGTGGTATTTGGCACCGGAAAGGTTGATGCCTGGAAGTTGAATGCCAGTGCAAGTTCCCGGAAATTCATCTCTGTTTTCAGAAGATCTTGCCTTGGTTCCTTATATTGAGATTCTTCCAAGTCCAAAGCAATTAAGTTAGTTGTGTGGTTAACAGGTGTGCAGATTCTATTCTTCTTTGAGATTTATTTAAAAGTTCTGGAATTCAGCTGAGGTGTGCGTTTCAATAGAGCTAGTCCTTGGTTTGAAGTCTTCATCCCGCTAAGGGCACTACTTAGCTGTGGGCTATGCTTAGTTTGTCATGTGGCATGTCTGGCATACCATTCTCTACCTCGTAGCTCTGAAAATTTGGAATCAGGGATATCTTGGTTCTCATGTTTCTATCTGCATTTGGATGAATTTTAAATTTCTAGCCTCTTTTTATGTTGCTTCTGTCATATTCTGGGAAATTTTCTGTTACGTTTTTTGTTTTCTTGTAATGTTTGGATATGCAGTTATTGCTATGGATATGCAGTTATTGTAATGTCACATGTTTGCTTGCACGATTTTCGGATTGTTAACCTCTTTAATAAACTTGTTCCATGCAACAGGTAGTTAGTTCTCTGGGTTCTCACTCGGATTCTGTTGAATGTGTCGGGCTTGCACCAAGGTAGAATTCACAATCTCTCTGTGGGTGTGTGTGTGTGTGTGTGTAACATGGCTGTGAGACAACAGGAAATTACATGGTAGGAACTGGGAGAAATTGGACACACACTAATGATTAATAAATTTTAAAAAGTTGGCAGTTAGCAGAACAATTATTCAGTGAAACTAGGAAGTACAAATGTGGACATTCGCTAGGTTATAGCGTGGTTGAGAAAAAGTGATAGTATGATGCCAGGCTTTCAACAAGCCAATAACCTTGACTTTGTTGCCAAACTTATGAGTAATAGTCTGCTTTTATCTGGTATCTTCAATTGAGTTGTGTTCTGCATATATAAGAGTCAATTTCTAATAATCTTAAGCTGGGACTATCTGACTTTATCAAATCATGCATTCAGATTGCCACATTATTAAACAAATGAAGGTTCTGTGTATTTCATCAATTTCACAATGATGTAAATTATGCAAAAATATGAAGTTCTATAGGCTCGTAATTTATTATGTAAGATTAGATTCCATTTCATGAAATCTTGGCTCCATTAAAGCAGTGTTTGGCAGAGAGGAAAGCAACATCAAAAAACCGGGGCTAAGTATCTAGACTTTTAGCCTTAAACTATTCCCATACTGGTAAACCATACCAGTGACTATTGGTTTGAAACCATATTAAAGCAAGTGCCTGTCTGTTGAACTTGACTTCCTTCCCCATTAAATAGTCTCATTCTCTCTCACTCTATTCATAAGTTCAGTCCCGTGAATCATACTGGCTTTGAAAATGATAAATGCGAAAGGGGAAAGCTGTATACTCACAATTAAGCTGTCTTATTCCCTTCTCCCAAGAAAAAAGAAAGTGGGTAGATGGGATAAAAAAGATATGCAGAGTTGGTGTAATCAATTCAAACTTTGGATTCATGTAGCCTAGTTTAACACTTGTCTCCTACCATGTGCATGGCAGCTCCCCTTGGGCTGCTACAGGAGGCTTGGATCAAAAGCTTATCATCTGGGATCTGCAGCATTCAATGCCCCGCGCCACATGTGAACACAAGGTCTGTTTGATTTTTTTTTTCCTCATTTTAGTATTTGCATATCTCAAATTGTGACCAATTTAATATGGAAGCCCTCTGAACAAATCAAAATTTCCCAACTCATAAGGATCAAAATTGCAACTAGCCCAAGAAACACAAAGCTTAGAGAATAAATGAATTAACAAAAGCCATATTTATTAAAGTTAGCACTTCCATATACAGCTGTTGTAATTGATCAACGGTCGAGTTATTGTCTGATTATGTTTTGCTTGTTGCAATGCTGTCAAGATTCCATGACTCACAATTGAACTTCTGGACAGGATGGAGTTACATGCCTGGCATGGCTTGGTGCATCTAGATACGTAGCTACAGGTTGTTTGGATGGGAAAGTAAGACTATGGGATAGTCTCTCTGGTGATTGCATAAGAATATTTAGTGGCCACCTTGATGCCATTCAATCTCTATCTATATCTGCTAATCAAGATTATCTTGTCTCGGGTTCAATTGATGGGACCGCACGAGTATTTGAGATTGCTGAGTTTAAGTAAAAGCTATAATGGTAGTATCAGTGTAAGGTGTTCAAATCTTCATATGGTTGGAAAGTAACCCAATTTTAATGCAACACAAGATTTCCATCGTATGCAATGCATGACAGTTATTTGCAAAAATTGCTCTGTACATCCAGACCTTATGTATTTTTTTTTTTTTTTTGTTTCCTTATGTTTTTTTCACAAGCATGACGCACCCCTTTTTGTTCTTCAAAATCATCCAAAAAATTTACCCAACTCCTCGTTGGAAACTGGAGTATTGGTATAAGCATTGTTAAAATACTAATGGAGAGGTAATCTCAATCTCCAAGGCATTAATCCACTAGTTATTATATAAATTGATTTACGGCGTTGATTGAAATGTGGTGCAGAAAGGCTGGAAAAAAAAAAAAAAAAAACAGTTAGTGGTTCTCCATAAAAAGAACAGGTAGTGGTGAATTCTCCATTTCCTTTTTCCATGTCCTTGAACCTATGGGAAACAGGAAAGAAACTTCACTGGAGAAAGTAACTGATGGATTTGCACAAGTGAGGAACCTGTGCTGGAAGGTCCAAAACCTACAGAAATTGTAGTTGTGCATTGATTGAAAACCAAGTATATGAGAAGATTGTGTACCATTTGATAGAGAATGCCTTAGAAGTAATATGAAGCAAATGTCTCTGACTAGTGAACTTCTGTGTAGCAAGAAGAAAAAGAATATTCATCCCCTACGCTAGATGATCAAGAGGTCTTCCTTATAGGACATGATGAACCCCCATCCTGCACTGAACTGAATGGTTGCTAAACGTCTTGAAATGGTCTTGAATAATAAAAGAAATTAATTTTGCAAATCTTTACAAAAAAAAGTTTTAACTATTGCATCCAGTTAATGGCCTTTTTTTTTTTTACCGCCCGTTCTCTAAGATTGTTTGATTCAAAATATTTTTGGAGTGAAAAATCATGCGATTGCTGGACTGTCATTTCTAGAAGATACAGAAGGCCAATCTTGTTTTCACTGCATGTTTTCTCTCACTTTTGCCTCAGCCTCAGGTCTCTCTCCTGCACATTATTGCACGCCCTCATCGCAAACATACATCAGAGAATGTTAAGTCTGATCCACGTGTAAGGCTCGTTATGAGTCTCTCACTTGCACTGACCAGATTGAACAAGCACGATAAGCTTATTATTAGTTTTCTTTTTTCCTTTTTTTTCCTTTTGTTTTGATTTTCTTTTAAATAATTATTCATTTTTTTTACCTTGTGGTTCATCCAAAAACTTACGAGCTTTGCACCACATAATAAGAGTAGCATTGGTATCAAGGGTGCTTGATGACAAATTGAATTGAATTAAAAGCTTCTATTAATGCACCTGAAATATGTGGGGCACAGAGTATTTTTAAAATCATTTGAATAAGATATTTAATTTTAATTCACACATATACTGATTCGATAATATTATATATCATCAAATAAATACATATTATATATCGTAAGGATTTTGTTTTTCCAAGAGAAAGATAAAAGGTATTGGATTATAGAATTGAGGATAATCCTTCCCCCAATTTGAAAATCCCTAACCCATTCTTTGAAAAGTTTGAACCTAAAATGTTTTAATGGGAATTCTAGGTGTTAATTGCTAAGGCATTCCCTTGAGAACAAGTAAAAAAAAATTATTTCTGCATCCAGTTCTAAATTTTGTTTTTAAAAAAAAAAAAAATGAAAAATGAAAAGTTTTGGAGTTCAAAAAACGACTACTCAATTAATTGTCCTATATATTGGACAATTTATTGGATCTAATTCTCATAAACCCAAAAATCAAGTCTATAAACTCTTATATATCAACCAGGTTGTTTTGTCACTATATATATATATATATATATATATATATATATATATAATGAACTTAAAAATACAAATCTTGAAAATAATTTGAAGAATAAAAATATATATTGTGAAAGAAAGAAAAAACAATTAAAAGTTATCGAAAAAATTTTAAACCTTAAGTAAAATTTAAAAAATGAATTTTTAAAAAGGTGATTTAGTAAATTAGGTGATAAAATAAAATTTACTAATGTTCGATTGATGGCTAATCAATAACAAGGTAATGGTAAATGCTTTCAATTGATATTAAGTTTTTTTTTAGTTTAACAATAGTCTATCTTCGAGTTAATTTATATATCAATTGATATTAAGTTTTTTTTCCTAATAGAATTAGGCAATGCTTTCATTAATCTTACAAAATAAAAAAGAAAAACAAGGTCAAAATAGGTAATCTATTATTGTTTCATGAGCTTAATAATCCAATGGCTAACGTCATTCATCGAAAAACTCGATGGCCTCGATTTAGCCACATCAACAAAGACGTTATAAATAGAAAAACCTTAAATCGATCCCTAAATTACCACCTAAATCTCAATTAACTTTAAAATAAGTAATTTTATTAATTATGTCCAAAGCTGTTTTAAATATTTCTCGACTGGATCTTCCTGTCAATTTTTGTTATTTTTTCATAAATTATTTTCTAAAATGGCGTTGATTTATTGCATAACATATGCAAACCAAATGGACAATATTACCTATATTGAAAGAAGGACCCAATTGATCCGACGAGTTTGAAATGGATAAGCTCAATTGAAAAACTTATTGATTTTGGAACTTAATTGAGAATATTTATATACATTAAGCACTAAATAGAGGTTTGTCTTTAAAATTACTAAATACCATGTTCTTGCCTATACTTCTCATAAATAGAATCGTGAAAACCTCAAACGAAAAATCCTAGCCTCCTCTTTGCTTAACATTCACAAAAAATAGATAAAGCCATAATCTCTCGGTTGAAAATCCCTAAACCCAAAAAAACGACTACTTAATTAATTGCCCTATATATTGGACAATTTCTTGGATCTAATTGATATTAAGTTTAACAATAGTCTATCTTCGAGTTAATTTATAATCAATTGATATTAAGTTTTTTTTCCTAATAGAATTAGGCAATGCTTTCATTAATCTTACAAAACAAAAAGAAAAACAAGGTCAAAATAGGTCATCTATCATTGTTTCATGAGCTTAACAATCCAATGGCTAACATCATTCACTGAAAAGCTGATGGCCTCGATTTAGCCTCATCAACAAAGACGTTATAAATAGAAAAGCCTTAAATCGGCCCCTTAATTACTACCTAAATCTCAATTAACTCTAAAATAAGTAATTTTATTAATTATGTCCAAACTATTTTAAATATTTCTCAATTGGATCTTTCTGTCAATTTTTGCTATTTTTTCATAAATTGTTTTCTAAAATGGCGTTATTTTATTGCATAACATGCAAACCGGATGGACAATATTAACTATATTGAAAGAAGGACCCAATTAATGAGATATTTTGAAACATATAAGCTCAATTGAAAAACTTATTGATTTTGTAACTTAATTGAGAATATTTATATACATTAAGGACTAAATAGAGGTTTGTCCATAAAATTACTAAATACCATGTTCTTGCCTATACTTCTCATAAATAGAATTGTGAAAACCTCAAACGAAAAACCCTAGCCTCCTTTTTGCTTAACATTCACAAAAAATAGATAAAGCCATAATCTCCGGTTGAAAATCCCTAAACCCAAAACAGCGACTACTTAATTAATTGCCTTGTATATTGGACAATTTCTTGGATCTAATTGATATTAATTTTAACAATAGTCTATCTTCGAGTTAATTTATAATCAATTGATATTAAGTTTTTTTCCTAATAGAATTAGGCAATGCTTTCATTAATCTTACAAAACAAAAAAGAAAAACAAGGTCAAAATAGGTCATCTATCGTTGTTTCATGAGCTTAACAATCCAATGGCTAACATCATTCATCGAAAAGCTGATGGCCTCGATTTAGCCTTATCAACAAAGACGTTATAAATAGAAAAGCCTTAAATCGGCCCCTAAATTACCACCTAAATCTCAATTAACTCTAAAATAAGTAATTTTATTAATTATGTCCAAACTATTTTAAATGTTTCTCAATTGGATCATTCTGTCAATTTTTGCTATTTTTTCATAAATTTTTTTCTAAAATGGCGTTATTTTATTGCATAACATATGCAAACCGGATGGACAATCTTAACTATATTGAAAGAAGGACCCAATTGATGAGACAATTTGAAACGTATAAGCTCAATTGAAAAACTTATTGACTTTGGAACTTAATTGAGAATATTTATATACATTATGGACTAAATAGAGATTTTTCGTTAAAAATACTAAATACCATGTTCTTGCCTATACTTCTCATAAATAGAATTGCGAAAACCTCAAACGAAAAACCCTAGCCTCCTTTTTGCTTAACATTCACAAAAAATAGATAAAGCCACCATCTCCGGTTGAAAATCCCTAAACCCAAAAAAGCAACTACTCAATTAATTGACCTATATATTGGACAATTTCTTGGATCTAATTCTCTTAAACCCAAAAATCAAGTCCATAAACTCTTATATATCAACCAGGTTATTTTGTCACTTATGTGTGTGTGTGTGTGTATAATTCACTCAAAAATACAAATTTTGAAAATAATTTGAAGAATAAAAATATATATTGTGAAAGGAAAAAACAATTAAAAATTATCAAAAAAAATTTAAACCTAAAGTAAAATTAAAAAAATGATTTTTTTTTTAAATGATTTAGTAAATTAGGTGATAACATAAAATTTACTAATGTTAAATTGATGGTTGATCAATAATAAGGTATGGTAAATACTCACCGATTTATTCCCTAATGTTTCATGTAATTTTTTTTTAGTTTAACGATAGTCTATCTTCGAGTTAATTTATATATCAATTGATATTAACTTGTTTTTTTTCTAATAGAATTAGGCAATGCTTTCATTAATCTTACAAAATAAAAAAGACAAACAAGGTCAAAATAGGTAATCTATCATTGTTTCATTAGCTTAACAATCTAATGGCCAACGTCATTCACTTAAAAGCTAATGGCCTCGATTTCGGCACATTAACAAAGATGTTATAAACAGAAAAA